GGGCGGGCGGTGGCCGGCCCCGCCCCCGCCTCGCGCCCGCGCCGGGCCCCGCCCCCAGCAGGGCGCGCCGGGGAGCGAGGAGCGGTCGGCCCCGCCGGCCTAGAGTGCCGCCTCATGACTATGCAGCTAGAGGCGTGGCCAGAGAGCACCACGCCCCCTCCGCTCGCTCTCGGGCCGGGAGGAGTTTGTGGAGCGGGCTCGGGTGGGCGGAACCATCCGCCGCAGGCCGGCGGGGAGGGCGGGCCGAACCATCGCGTCGGGAGGCGCGGGCCACCCTGGGCGCGACCTGTGGCAGGTGGGCCCCGGCCGCCCGGCTGCCCTGGGAGCCAGTACGCGCGGTCGCCCCGCACCCTGCGCGCGTCCCTTTGTGTGCTTTCTCCGGGCGGGTGCGCACGTGCTCCCGCTGCCCCCCGGGCGAGGGCTCCAGGGACCGCGGCAGGCTCGCCTCTGCTCCCGCGCTCTGCTTTCAGCACGGCCGTCCCCCAGGAGACCCACGCAGGCCCTATATGCGGGCGACGTGGCCTCCCTTAGGGGGACACGGAGAGTCGTCTGCGTTCCGGGGTGGGCTTTCAAAGACTGTTGCGGTGCGCCCACAGGTCCCGCGGTGTCCTTGCCCTCCAAGACGCCGAGGGAAGGGCAAGCCTTCCCCGTACAGAGGCTGGGGATTTGTCTGCTGGCTGTTCATTTTTGCAGAAACATTCCCACCGAGTATCGGGATCGCTGTGCCGAGTCTATACACAGCTCGGAGCAGGGCCAGGATGGGAACCTGCGGCTGCAGGGTGCCTCGGCCAGGTCCAGCCTTGAGCAGCTCGGAAGACACCCCTCCTACGTGCTCAGGGCTCCACAAACACCGTGAACCACAGGCGAACTGCTATGTGGGTCTGCAGAACGGCGTTTTACAGAGAGAAGCTTGTAGCGAGGCCTGCCTGCGCGGGGGAGGGGGAGGGTGGGGAGGCCAGTGAGGCTCTGACTGGGGTGGAAAGTTGGAGGGGACCCCAAAAGTTCAGTGATCCAGACCAGCTACGGAATGTGCAGGGCCCAGTGCAAAATGGAAACGCAAGTTCCCTTGTTCAACAGCTCCTGGGGTTTGAAGACAGGGACAGTACAACTCTAGACCGACTGTGTGACTGTGCTTGTCCCCAAGCCATCCAACTGTCCCTGGCCTCTCTCCTCCCCCTAGTCCCAGTCCTGGTCTGTGTTTTTGCGTTTTGTTTTTGTTTTAAGATGTTATTTATTTATTTGACAGAGAGAGACAGTGAAGAGGAAACACAAGCAGGGGGAGTGGGAGAAGGAGAGGGAGAGGCAGGCTTCTCGCCGAGCAGGGAGCCCGATGCGGGGCTCCATTCCAGGACCCTGGGATCATGACCTGAGCCAAACGCAGACGCTTAATGACTGGGCCACCCAGGAGCCCCATGTTTTTGCGTTTTTGTTGTTTTGTTTTTGTGTTTTTGTTGTTTTGTTTTTGTTTCTAGTTACCTTGGAGTTTATTTAAACTAAGAGAAAAAGTGTAATGTTTTCATGCAATAGGTACTCAGTTCTTTAAATAACAATTCTGACAACAGAAGGCGTTATGGAATGCTGCCCTTGTGATCCATACAAAACAGCAGCATTCTGGAGTGTACATCATTTAAAGATATGTCTCACACACTTTTTGAAATACAGTAGTAGCCAATACATAGAGGCATGCCTTAAGTGGGCATAGGGAGGCAGTTCAGAAAAGAAAGAGAAATATCACACTGGAACTACCCAATTTCTTCAAAATCACTGTGCAAGAAAAGAGACATTAAACTTCCATACTGATTTTATACAACCTCCATACAGTATCTTAGCTCAAATCCAAGAGCAAAAGTTAAGACTCTCCACCTCTATTTTTGGTGAACACCTACATGGTAAACTTAGATGACTTTTGCCCCTGGATTTCACCTGGGAGTGTGGCCTTTTTAATTTTTTACTTACAAGTGGGCAGATTTGGCACTTTTATACTGATGTCACCAATGTTAATATTTCTTGGGACCTGAGGAAGATTCCTGTTCTTCACAGCTGATACAGCATAGGCTGCAGCTC